AGTAGCACCCCATTATTATCATCATTCAGAATGCTGTGCTAAAGCACATCAATATCGATTGTAAAGTTACATTAATAAATTTAGCAGAGACAGATATTCACATGGATTTATTGTACAGGGAGGGAGGGAGCTAGAGCAGACAGCAACACAAAAATAATATGAGTCACAGCCTCACAGCCTAATAATTCAATAGCGTATTAGACTTTTCCAACAAATATATTGTACTAATTTTAACATTTAGGCACTTTAGGAATTGTGTTTTAATACACTGCCAGTCAAAAGGTTTTTTGATCAGTAAGATTTTAAATGTTTTTTAAAGAAGTCTCTTCTGCTCACCAAGCCTTCATTTATTTGATCCAAAATACAGCAAAAACAGTAATATTGTGAAATATTTTTATTAAACTGTAATTTATTTTCAGCATCATTACTTCAGTGTCACATGATCCTTCAGAAATCATTCTAATATGCTGATTTGCTGCTCAAGAAACACTTATGATTATTATTATTTTTATTATTAAGTTTAAATTATTTTTTTTCCGTGTGGCCTAGATGAGTGTGAGATTTCCCGGCCTGAAATTGTGTCCCAGTCCGACCCTGCTTATTTGAACTATTCTTAAAACTCTTTTAAAAAAATTCTTCTTCTAATTTTCCACAGACCTGACCAATGGGAGCTGCCAAATCCCTCTGGCAAGTGACAGAGTGGGTCTGACCTACATCTACAGCCTTGCTTTCTCTATTGGACTCCCGGCTAACCTGCTCTCCCTCTGGGGACTGTACCAGCTAGGCCGGTCAGGAGGAGGCGGCTGCCAGCTGGTCTATATCCTAAACTTACTGCTTTCAGATCTTCTCCAGCTACTCACCTTGCCACTGTGGATCCTTTACCTGCAGGGGGACCACCACTGGCCTTACGGATCTGTGACCTGCCAGCTAGTGGGCTACGTTTTCTACGTTAACCTCTATGCCAGTGTCATTTTTCTTTGCCTCATTGCCCTGGACCGCTGTCTAGCGATCGTGTACCCTCTCAGCAGCCGTGGGGTACGGAAAGTGCGGGTGGCAGCATTTTCTGGTGTAGTAGTGTGGACTTTGATATTTCTCTTCTGCCTGACTGGCCTCTACCCATCTGTGTTCGAGCCCCAGAGAGAGCTGTGTCTGGAGCAGTACACTGTGAGCATCAGATATGCTTACTTTAAAATCGTCACAGTCGCTTTAGGGTTTCTGATGCCCTGCTCTATTCTAGGGTAAGTGAAATGCATTTTTTGTTCATGTTTGGGTGTACCTGGGTCAATAAAATAATGCTCTTTTTAGTCCAAATCTAATAATTTATTTAAAAATGCAGTTCATGTGTGCATTACACCTCTTCTACATTGAGCATGATTTTAACTTCTAAATAAAATTCATTTATATTTTTATGGGGGAGGAAGTGACAGAGTGGGTCTGACCTACATCTACAGCCTTGCTTTCTCTATTGGACTCCCGGCTAACCTGCTCTCCCTCTGGGGACTGTACCAGCTAGGCCGGTCAGGAGGAGGCGGCTGCCAGCTGGTCTATATCCTAAACTTACTGCTTTCAGATCTTCTCCAGCTACTCACCTTGCCACTGTGGATCCTTTACCTGCAGGGGGACCACCACTGGCCTTACGGATCTGTGACCTGCCAGCTAGTGGGCTACGTTTTCTACGTTAACCTCTATGCCAGTGTCATTTTTCTTTGCCTCATTGCCCTGGACCGCTGTCTAGCGATCGTGTACCCTCTCAGCAGCCGTGGGGTACGGAAAGTGCGGGTGGCAGCATTTTCTGGTGTAGTAGTGTGGACTTTGATATTTCTCTTCTGCCTGACTGGCCTCTACCCATCTGTGTTCGAGCCCCAGAGAGAGCTGTGTCTGGAGCAGTACACTGTGAGCATCAGATATGCTTACTTTAAAATCGTCACAGTCGCTTTAGGGTTTCTGATGCCCTGCTCTATTCTAGGGTAAGTGAAATGCATTTTTTGTTCATGTTTGGGTGTACCTGGGTCAATAAAATAATGCTCTTTTTGGTCCAAATCTAATCATTTATTTAAAAATGCAGTTCATGTGTGCATTACACCTCTTCATGTTTTTAACTTCTAAATAAAATTCATTTATATTTTTATGGGGGAGGTCATGAGGTCAGTGTCAGGGCGATGTTAGTCTCAGCCTCAGACGTCACACCCACGGAACGTAGGCTGAACATCTGATGCATATGGCACACTTTACTGGAAACACTTCAGGTGTTTCAAAGTCCTCATCTGATTGGCTGAATTCTACAGAATTTCCGGGAGACGTGTGTCGCATTTATTAATGGTCCACCTGAAAACAAAGATGCCATGGCGCCAAACCCCCTCATGGAAGAACAAAGCCGTCATGTTTACAACTGTGACCGTGAGCGCTTATCGGGATCAACTAAACGCTAGATTAGTATGTGAAATATGTAAAGTTTGCGGCATAGACTCTTTAAAATACGTCCAAGAGTTTTACACACTGGTCTGTTATTGTGGGGACATTTCCACGCCCATAAACATTACGCGGCACAAAATGAAATGTGATTGGTTGCTTTACCTGTAAGTCATATGGCCTCTTGGGCGGTCCTTGGCCATTCAAAGCGGCCAGGGTTCCCAGACCTTCTGCCGTCGGTCTGAAGGTCTGGCTACGTGAGACTAGGGCGATGTAAGTGTCCTCATGTCATAATGAAAAAGAAAAATACATATGTCACCATTAAAAGAATGAAATTCCCTAGGAAACCCATATTACATAGTTTATTTTATTATTATTTCTTAGAAATGTATTACTAATATTAATATTTAATCAAATAAATTGTCAGCCAAATCAATGTGGTGCAACAAAAATGCAGAAAAAAAAACATAAAACAGGAAGTGATATCACAGGGAGGGCATCTGCTGACCCTGTGTATCAAGGTCAACAAGTCTTTTAAAATAAGATGATTTGACCATTTTATGACAAGATCTCCTTGATGCAGTGATTTATATGTATAAATAATTAATCATTTAAAAACATTTTAAAATGGTTTTAAAAATAAGAAATGCACATGTATTATGCATTCAGGGTGTAAAGAATATATTTTCATGTTTTACTTATGTATTTGTTATATATATTTTTACGTGGTTTCAATTTTTCTTGAATATGGTATAAAAGGTTTTTAAAACCCTATGAAACCAACATGAATACTGAGAGTACGAGTACATTTCTAAGAACTTGGCACGTGTGATTTAAAATCTTTATTATCGCAGACGCTCTTATTTGTCATTGACTCCACCTGCATTGTACGTTTTACCAACCCGTATTTATCGGCACGTTAGAAACATGTTGTCTCAGCACACAGGCCTAGGAATGAATTAGCATGCCATCAAAAATGCCACTGCACAGATGACAAACACAGATACAGCGTCTGTCTCTTTAAAGGAATGTTACTGTAAACGCAATCATAACTATATCTTTCATAACCTTTTGGCCTTTCTTTCCTCTTGTTGACATTCAGGTACACCTCTGCTCGAATCGGGCTGACTCTACGAAACTCCTCGTCTGTCGCGGATCACGAACGCCGCAAGATTGTCGCAACCCTGGTTGTCATCACTGTCATCTTCATTGTCATTTTTGGTCCCTATCATCTGGTGGTCGGCTACAGATTTGTCAGCCTGCTTCTCACAGAAAGTGAAAAAGACCAGTGTTCGGTGGAAGTTTCGCTTTACCTTTACTATCGAATCTGCTACGGGCTCACCAGCCTCCACACCCTTCTAGACCCTCTTTTCTACATCTTTCTTTGTAACGATGCTCGTCAAGAGCTTCGCAGATCTCTTCTCTGCCCGTGCCGGGGTCATAGGGTGCACCAGGGATCACGAGTAACATCTTTTCCCAAAAGTCGCCTCAATCACAGTGTAGATGTGTAGCTGTCTCATACAGATGCTAATCAGAGTTGGAGTCTTTGTAAGGCACGTGCTGAAAACAAGGTTTTCACACATGACGTGAAAATGTCTTATCAGACTGAGATTTGACAAATTGTCAAAAACGTCAGTGATGTAATTACGACACGGCTGGTATGAGGCAGTGGCACGTCCTCTGGATCTCTGTCAGTAGAGCTACGTCTTCAGTATCTTCAGTCAAATGTTTAGTCTGCCAGACAGCCTGAGGAGATTCTAATGCGTTCTCTATATTGCTTAAAATACTAATACTTTTAATTTATTTCTGTGATGGCAAAGCTGTATTTTCAGCAGCCATTACTCCATGTGTCACGTGATCCTTTAGAAATCATCCTAATATGCTGATTTGGTGCTCAAGAAATTTTTTATTATTGTCAATGTTAAAAACTGTTTTGCTGCTTAATATTTTTGTGGAAACCACGATGGTAGGTTTTCGGGATTCTTTGATTAATATGAGTTAAAAAGGACAGCATTTATTTGAAATAGAAATCTATTGTAACAATGTAAAAGTCTTTACTTGCTTGTTTCCACCATGGGATAAAAAAGGAAATTGCAACTTTTATCTCATATTTCATACTTTTTTCTCACAGTTTTGAGTTTATATCTCACAATTGACACTTGTTTCTCAGAGTTGTGAAATTTAAACTAGAAATTCTGAGAAAAACTGTCTGAATTGTGGGATATAAACTTACATTTGTGAGAACAAGAGTTGGAATTGTAAGATTAAAAGTTGCAAAACCTTTTTTATTTTTATTCTGAAACAAGCAAAAGGAACTGCGAAATATAAACGGAATCGGAATTGCGAGAAAGTAAGAGTTGTATCTTGAATTTGCTTGTGAAATCTGAAAAAAGTCAGAATTGTAAGATAAAAATTTGCAATTGCTTTTGACATTTTTTTTTTTTACTCCTTGGTGAAAACTGGCTTCTATACTTTACTGACACATTTGATCAGTTTAGGTGTCCTGATTATTAAAAGCATTAA